GGATGGGAACGGAATTACCATACCGCACCGGATACCCTCATCATCACCTAGTAGTATTGGCGGAAAAATACACCCTACGAAGAGAAAAGGGGGTGAAACGGCCATTTCTGGCTTCTTCACCGTTATCAGCCGGTCAAACCGAACCCTAGGCTCGAAACATCTGTTGGACTCCTAGTCGGCAGAACGCGAGTTAGAGCTTATGATTGGCTGACGACAGGTAGTAAGCCAGAAACGACCGTTCCAGTCTCCCTTTTCTATGTGGAGAATATTTTTCCGTCTATACTACTAGTTGTCTCGAAGTTGTCTGCGGGGCTCTATATCGTGCTCAGTTCACAATGGGAGGGACATTTTCAATAAGGCGATGGGTGAGCACAACTTTACTAATGAAGAAGGGAATTTGTTAACGGGAACAGAAACTGTACTAGCCTACGAAAGGGCGATAGTATATGACCAGATATACAGCGCATTTCATGAACCCATAAAGTGACTTCATCATCCCCTTCTGTCCCCCTTCCTCCCCCTACCTCACATTTTTTCCTTCCCCTTCCAGTTCCACAAGTGCTACAGAGAGCGCAACATGACACATATAAAGTGGCTTCATCATCATGGTCCGGAGATGCTCCGAACTGTTTTGATTAATGTCTCGCAGTCCCCGAAAATTAACTCTTTATGAGGCATGCTGCTCCCTTCTCCGTCATGATCGACTGAATTCCAGTTGTTGTCTGCATTAAAGACTACGACCAGCACAGGTTATAGGATTCAAACCCTGTTACCGACTCAAGCCCCCTAAAAGTATCATTTATTGTAAGTCAGTCCTACCAGGACTTAGGACGCTGAATGCATTATCAAAACCGATTGACACATTAAACAATCTCCTAAAATCCGGGCTTAGTAATATTCCGGTACTTTACAGACTGATTAATAACGAATAATCCATATCTTCTCACTGACACCAGTCAGTACCGTTAACTTGATTGTGACAAAGCTGTAATCTAAACAGTTTAAGGTAAGATCGAAAGATTTCTCTCTGCCTAACTAAGGTAGAAGACTTAGAAAGTTTGACCAAAGCCGAAAAAAACGGTCTTTTGTGAAAAAAGGCAGAAGGGTGGTCTGAGTGAAGTTGAATAGTGTCGAAAGTGCATTTATTTGGCTGGGGGCGAAATGATTTCACAAACCTTCTGTTTGCCTTGGTAGTTCAAATCGTGTCAATTTTATTTAGTTTACGCACTGCCGAAAGGGCAACTAGCTTAAGGGTAACGAATCCAGGGACCTGTAGTTGGCGCGCGCGCTTTCATGTCAATCGATGGACTGCCAACTCTAATCTTTAGTCGATAATTCGCCGTGCTCGTTTTCATTTCGGTCGATGGATGGCTGGCAATTCAAAATTTCGATCGATAATCGCCCAGGGGCACCACGACGTTGGCAAGTGTAGTTGGCATGCGCGCTTTCATTTCGGCGATGGCGATTCAAAATTCCGGTCGATAATCGCCCAGAGTCTTGGGTCTCAGTCATTCAGAAATTCATACGCCTTCAGGGCGCTTGGCCACTTTATGCGCAGAGTGTTGAGGTCCTTTCAGCACGGACAGTCGCATGGGACCTTACCCCATTGGACAACAGGTCAGTTCAGTGTCATTCAGAATTTACTTTCCTGTTTTAACTAAGCAGGTCTCAGCAGATTCAGAGAATTTTGACAGTTTAAAATTAAAGCTGTGAAAATCCCCATAGCTATATTCAGAAGAAAAGATGGCGAGCGAACGTTGCTTTTGATAACTTCCCGTTAGACCGACTAAATTAAGAAGTCGGTTAAAAGTGTACAGGATAAGTATACCGTCGGTGGGGAAGTTGAGATTTTAAGATCAAAATCAGAGAAAAGCATTTATAGGCATCTTAGCACAGAAGTAACAGTGTCCAATGCGCTTTATTTTGTTGCACGACCAAAACAGTTTAAGCCTATCAAGAACCAGTTCCGGGAGGCTAGTTGAGAATACGAATAAACGAAAAAGCAGTCAAACAATTTTGGCAATGCGCCTCGCACTGCTACTCAATTTTGCAGCCCCTCTATATTGTACTCATGCACTATCAGTAGGATAGGAGTGCTTTTTGGAATAGTCCAGCCCATCATCTTTGACGGACCTTATTTCCACCAGCGTAATTTAAGGTTGTATAATACACGCGCTCGATGAGCAGCCGAAACCCTTGCTCGCATGACTGCCATGATGGCTGGGTTCACACATGAATGGAACAAAATTGGTCGTTCCAGGGGGACCGATCTCTTCGGCGTCTTTCTGCAAGCCAGTCACACCTTCGTATTTGCGGCCGTGCCCGATCGGGGAGTAGGGCAGGCCTCTGGGCGATTTAAGCCTGAACATCCCGCGCTGACTCCTTTAGCCGACTACAACAACTTCAGCCCCCACTCAAAGCTGTTTGCAGTCGTCTCCACTGTTCGTCTGTTTACTGTAATTGCGTCCCATTTACAATCTCCTCATGGGTTACCGTTGGCTCTTCTGAGCGCAGGCTTCCACTCGTGCTCCAGAGTTCAAACAGATGAACGCGGGCTCCGGATCTCCACATGTCTTGTTACTTCATTCATTCCACATCAGTCCCATGGCAAGCTCTTGCATAATATTCCTGTGAGAGAGACCAAAGGTGGGGTCAATGACAAAAGCAACGGTACTGCTCATATGTCTCTAATGCAAGCTGTCAAAGATGGCTGGTTGGACTATTCGAAAAATGCTCTCCTGGCCTACTGGTAGTGCATAACTACAGTATAGCGGATCTGCCTATGCAAAATAAAAACGGGCGGGTTTTATTCACTGCATTCGGAAGCGTCTAAGTTGCTTAGGTGACAGTATGGATTATTGTGGAAACGCTCATAAGGAGTGCTGAGATCTGCTTAGTCTAAACACGCAGGTATGTTCCAGATGGGGCTGAACTCACCTATTGTCCAATGGGGTAAGTTTGTCTACGAGTGACCATGCGATAATGACTTCACAGCTCCGCAGAGGAGATGGCCAGGCGGGATCAGAGTGAATGAATTTGTTCAACGTTTGTATCCAAGCTCCTGAAGGAATCGGCTATGGTTGGCTACGAATTGCCAATGCATTTGCTGATGCGAAGGCGTCCATGACGATTGCCGATTCTTGAATAAGTATGTTTGCATCATACGAAACGAACGTTCCTCCAACTAATCTAACTCAACACTGGATTTCTCGTGATGATTCAAATCATTGTGTGGACGGGGTCAGCGATCATGCGGCAATGCTGCCCCTGACTAGAAAGAGGAAGAATGTTGCTTGAATTGTTTCCAAAATGAAAACTGAAAGACGGATTGATATCTTCTGTCCACAATCACACACGTACAGACCCTATTCGGGCGAACATCCGAATTTAGAGAGGAAGAGGAAGAAGAAAATGGGGAAGAAGAGGAAAATTGGGAATAAGAAGAAAAAAAGGAAATGAAACAGGTGATGACAAAAGCTTTAACTGCTTATTTATGCGAGACGGCAACATACCTTCACAGCAAACTGGTTATTCGTCTGCTTAATCAAAACGAGAATAGAGCATTAAAACCATTCTCCTCTGCTAACCCCTCCCTTTGAATGGGTTTCTTTGTTGGATGTTGTTTTGAGGTGTCTGCGTAAGGAGACGAAGTTAGTGACTAGATGCAAGATATCCGCTACAAGGGCTTCAAACTTAGGGATATATGACATCTTACATCAAGGGAACTCGGCGTTTAGGTAATAACGCCGATTTGGTAATAACTACTAGTGTCGTCGGCAGTCTATAGGCTTTTTGCATCATTACATCTCGCTCGGCGACTTGCTGAACGCTCATTTCTTTGGTGGTAAGGCCTTTCTCGTGGATAACTTCGAGTAATACCGAACACCCTCGTGATTCTATGTGCTTTTAACTCACTAGGGCTTCTGTCTGTGTCATCTTAGATAATTGTCCCCCACATGCACATTTTTAGGGGAAAAAGGATGGATGGACAAGCAGGGCGGAACAGAATATCTTGGATTAGCGGGGTTAAATTTCTAATATTCAACGAGATGAGTGCATTGTGACTGCGATAAAAGCAGACCCATCTGAGAAACAAATTAGTTTACTTTCGACATATTTCACCCTGATCTAAATTTTCGAAGTAACCGACGCCTTGCATTAAGCGAGGAAACAACAGAGCAGCGTACTTGTTCATAGTCATGTCTTTCCAACAACCGACCTTGAAAGTTTAATTAGGGAGGCACACGAATAATGCCCCAGCTACTTGATTAAAATAAACACATGCGTGGACACACGAGATTGTGGTAACAGTCATGCATTCCGGGACAGCAACCAACTGAGGACGACTTTTCCATCTGTCAGATTTGTTCCGCATGTGGCTACCCGCGACTGGCGAGGATTGCCTTTTATTGAAACAAATGCGACACTTGTGCATTCTGTGGCTAAGGATCATTTTTAATCTCCAGTTCGATAAGTGCATTTCGCAGTCCCACTTCGTCTGAAGAGATATGGATTTACCTTCTTACAGATGTACACATGCGGTGGTTCTTTCATTTTAGTCTATGAGTCCTAAGATGTCCCAAATGTAGCGTAGCTGTCATTCATCTGTCTGCAGTTCACAGTACTGAAACATTGTCTCCCGGAACAAATCTACGGCCGTCATAAAACCTAGAGACCTCTTATTCTAAAAGAATTCGAAGGCACGATCACTGGGACGGTAGAGTTATTGACCTTAGCTTTCGAGCTCGAACTGAAGTTCACCGTTAGAGACTACTAGAGTGCAGCAGCGTGTGAACATTTATATCGTTGTGCCGTGAGGGGGGGCTACATCCGTGGCTATGTCTGGTTTGTGCTGCCTGGCCCACAATAGTCCCCCGGTGTGGTGATGTCGTTTTTACCTCGCGGCGATGTGACCTGCGCCACCTGGCTGCGTGGGCGGAGTGCGTGATATCACGCAGGCAAATCAATGTGTCTATTGCTAGAGTTGATGTCCGACACCCATGCCTCTAACAGTTCTCGCCCCTCCTGTTGCCGGCTCGCGCCAATATCCGCCTGTTGGCGAAGTCGAACTCATGGCCTTCCCTCAGCGTGTGAGTGACGACTTGAGATAGTGGGTCGCCACTTCGAACGGCCCGTTTGTGCTCAAGTATTTGTGAGCTGAGACGTCGTCCTGTTTGGTCTGTGTAGTGCCAAGGACAGTTTTGGCACGAGATTTGATGGACTACGCCCGACTGTTCACCTACGCCCAGCCGGTACTTCATTTTCATGATCCTGCTACGTATGGTAGCCGCCGGATGATGTGGGATGTCCACGCCTAACTCTGACGCAATGCGTTCTGCAGCCTCGGACATATTCTTTATGTACGGTAGGAAGTTCCAAGTTGTTGGTGTCTTTTTCGTATGTCCGCCGTGGGCGCGTACGTATGCAGCGGCTGATGAAACTATTTGGGTAGCCGTTCTTTGTTAACTGGTCCCTAAGATGCCGTAGTTCTTTCAGCCTTCCTTCGGGCTCGCTACAGCGCGTTTTTACTCGGTCGAAAAGCGTCCTCACACAGCCGCGTTTGTGCACCAATGGGTGGTTGTTATGATAGTTGAGGAAATGGGTTGTATTGGTCGCCTTTCTGCACACTGTAGTGCTGAGCATAACGTCAGTTGTGCGTGTGACGAGCACGTCAAGGAAGGGTAGTTTCTCATCCTCCTCATCTTCTCTTGTAAACTGAATGTCGGGAAAGATGCCGTTAAGCAGGTCTTGAAAACCCGATAACCTGTCCTTTTCAATAACGACGAGTGTACCGTCCATGTATCGGCGCCAAAACGCAGGTTTGTAGTGGCTGAAAGCAACCTTTTCCAGCTCTTGTAGGACCAATTCCGCAATTAAGCTGGATATTGGGGAACCCATGGGTGTTCCTTTGATTCGTTCTTTTGTTCTGCCATCGAAGCTGAAAAGGGTTCGCTGGCAGAATGCGGAAAGCTGCATTTGGTGTTGGATATTTAGGGGTCCTGTCATTGCGTCGTACTTTTCTTTGAGGCGTTTGCGTAGCACGTCGCGCGCCAAGTCTGGTGGGATGAACGCGAAAAGTGAGACAGTGTCAAAGGATATCATGATTTGGTCGGGTAGACTAGTTTTTCCCAGAATGTCGGCAAGGGATTGGGAGGCCGAATTGACGTACGTCACAGAGCCCTCTCGGAGAAAATTGAGTTTTCGGGACATCCATTTGGCCAGATTGTATGTGGGACTGCCTTTCAGGGCAACGATTGGCCGCAGAGGAACGTTGCGTTCTACTGCGTTCGCTCACTGCGGATGGCGGGAGTTGCCTGAGTTAGCGAGTTCGGTTTACAGTGAGAACTCATCAGGCCGGATTATAGTTTCACACCACTAGATGGTAGTCACTAATGATTAAATATGCGAACTTAAGTGTTTGATACATATAGCATGCTTAGCTCTTTCATCTTGGTTGTACTTGAATCACGTCTCTAACTAGGCCTAAAAGATGATTAAGTTTAGGGTCAAGTGTAAAGTCAGGTTAAAAATTTCGGTTTGTGAAAGGATTGGGGTTGGAGCTAGGGGCAAGGTTAGGGTTGGGGTTAAGTCTGTCAGCCGCATACCCTCTCAAACCAATCCGGCATTCTTCAACCACTAACCCTGGATTACCTGTTTTCCACCCCCTTGCGCGCTCTCAGTTTACACGTTGCAAATTACACTGTCCGCTCCGGCTCCTCGTTGGAGTAATACAACAAATATAGGACAGAAATGCAAATTTTCTATCTGCCTTCAGCAAATTCCGTTAGTTGCGACGTTCGCTTGCCCTACTGACAAAACTAACATTAACATCCTCCCCGTATCCAGCAGTCCCGGTGCCCTATTTTCTCATCGGGCTTACATATTAAATCCTTGCCCTTTAATCAGTCACGTGGGAGGTAGGGTTGTGAGGGGACGGTAGAATGGGCTGTTACTAACGCCATCAACCCTAACCACTGGTCGTGGGAGGTCGATCACGTGACCCGGCCAATTACACGGAGATGCTTAGTCGTAGTCAAAACTAGGATTTTTAATGCAGTCGTTTGGTCAACCGCATGGCCAATGTCCACAAGATGCTTCGTAATTTAACTCACAAGAATCCTATTTTCCGCCTTCACCAATCAGCATGGCATATATTCAATCGACCGAGTGGGGTACATGGGCAGCAAGAGGTAAAGAGAGTTTGGAATCTTCATTTTTTGTGAAAAACAATCTCTGCTCGAAGACAAGTGTTCACTGTACAGGGAAGAAGCATACAAAATGGTTTCGCCCCTAACTATTTGAGGGCACGTTTTAGTTTTAGATTCAGGCCTATGCTGCAAAAAGGTGGAGAAGGTGTAGATTCCTCATCCAAATTCCTTGCAAAGGTCTGGGCCTCAAAGTAACCATGACATGACATGTAATATTAAGCTCACGCACAGACTGTGGTCAGAAAACGTTTGGAACTCACCACGTGCCGAATGATCTATCAATGGAAGTAAAAAAGACTTCAGCAGCAGTCGAACTGAAGGTGTAAGACGCGGGCTGGTGCGAGTCAAGGAGGAAGTTGTGCTGACTAGTCAGTATAGCTGGTCGTGTGACTGCAACCGAGCAGAGGTTCTGGTTGTTGTTGTTGTTGTTGTTGATGATGATGATGATGATGATGATGATGATGATGATGCTGATGATGATGATGATGATGATGATGATGATGATGATGATGATGGGCAGGAAATAGCTCCTAACAACAAACTCGGCCTTCGACATGTCCAGGCAAAGTGCGCGGAGAATGACCCTGTTGTCTAAACACACAGGTACGTCGTGGCTCTCTGAACTGCAGTTGCGTTGATCGGCTTCGTGAAATGACAGTTTACTACCGCTTCTGCACCACATGGTAGACATCTCCATCCGTACAATAGTTTAAGGACTCAATATAGTACTGGACGACGACAGTTGATGCTACATTACATCGCAGGTGCCTATTCGCAATATTACAAAGTTTCTGACCGATCAGCCAGATCGGTGCTCAATCACGCCTGAAGGTAATGCTGCTGCATGATCCGAGACCGCTTCCTTCGCGGCTAGCCTTCGTTGAAGTGAATTCCCATTATCCACCAACCGTGGACGCGTCGAGTGACCCTCAGAACAGGTTATCAGGTAGGTCCAGGCTTTCTGGGACGAAGACAGAAAACCCGGCAGGCCTTCTAAATGTCAACAAAAGTTTTAAGGTCTTATAGGCTTCTTGGAATAGTCGCCGTGGTGCTTTCGAAGAACAAGTTAGTAGCGGCGTCTGTCCGTACAATCGTGCATCGAATTCGTCGCTGCATCAGATTTGATACACTATAATACTTGAGAGCGAGATAGATGCTGCACTTGAGAAGACGAAGATGCGATCACTGGAGAAAGAAATGTATTGGTCCGACGTTTCGGATGCTCACGCGAACCCATCATCAGAAGCAGTTGCAGTTACTGCACTCCCTGTGCCTCTGACGATGGGTTCGAATAAGAATCTAAAACGTCAAACCAATAAATTTATTGTTCAAGTAATCGCATCTTTGTCTTTCGAACTGCTTCCTGGAACTTGCCCGTTCGTTTCTATTGTCTAGCAAGAATCTGCGACGAAACCTGTTGTCATCATGACTTTCGTCTTCCTCTTAAAATCCCGGCGAGGAAGAGATCTCCACGCTCATTTTCCGCCTGGGAAGATAGGTAAGTTCTAGCGGTTGTTATATGCATGACGGAAGACCACGTTAGTCAGTCAATGCGAGAGCGTAGTTCTGGCTCATCTTCAGTGACCGCTGGATTCGTTTCCACGGAAGATCAGTGATCTAGGTGGGCTTGCAAGCACTCACCCCCTTGTGCAGAACTGCTCAGTGGAATGGAGCGTGTTGGCTTCAGGGTTGAAATAATTACACTTAGAAGGCCAGCGTGATTCACATTAACAAGTTTCTTGTTCTTATCAGTTTGCTGTGGACGAGGTCTGCCTTCAAGTGCACAGGCTGGGAAAGGTGTCGCCACTGTTCCTTGAGTGATCTCAACCCATGTGCTTCTTCCAAGAATAAGTTTAATGAACCATTTTTTGCGGCAGAGGAGCGAAAGCGTAGGTAAGTATGTAAGCGCGCACCCTTCCCTTGTGCAGAACTGCAATCGCTGGAGTGAATACCAGTCCGACGAGGACACTTGTGAGAGTGGCATCGTTGTGGTTTAACTCCTCCTTTTAGATAGACGGTCAGGTTCACCGAAGTAGTGCATCTTTGTGATACGTTTTCCATCCGTAACTGTTCTTTGCGATCGGAGTCTATCTACAGCACAGACGTTTATCTCCATTGTCGAATCTGCGAAATAACGTTCCTTGTGGTCTGCATCTACAAGTCTGCGGGTTGTGATTAGATGTACCAGCAAATGAATTTGATAGCATCCTCGTCAGGACGACCGAATCACCTGGATTTTGGTCCTAGATGTTATGCAGTCCCTTGGGCCAAACGGATCGAAGGTCTACAGAATAACCATGGATTGTCAAGATCTCTGCTGTGCGCGTGCTATTACCTTCTGTGTCATCCGCGGTTGATCCTCAGCTGTTGCCTAATTTAGGCCAATGACCAGGGCAGGTTTCAGAATTCAAATCTTTTTGCCGATTCAATTTCCTGAATGTATCAGTGACTGTTAGCCAGTCGCAAAAGGCCTCAGGTCCTTGAATCCACCCTCAAAACCCAGTGAATCTTTAAGATTATACCATCTGCCAAAGATCCCGCTACCCAATATTTCGAGAATTTACTGTCCGATTAATAGCAATTAGTCAGCAAGTGTCCATGAACTTCATTGCAACAAAGCTGTAACCCAAACGGCGTTTTAGATAAGCTCGGAAGATTTCTGTCTGCGTAACGTAAGCAGGAAATTTATGTAGTAACCACCCAATGGCCCATAAACGCAGATGTGTTAGGAGACTCTTTCAAAGGGTAAAAACGCACTTCAGTGATTCAGAGGGACGAGTACGAGAACTTCGGCATCATTGGGACCAACTGGCAAGGAATGGATACCCGAACAGCTTCGTCAGCCGCTGCCTCCGCACGCACCCACGGCGAACGAACGGAGGAGAGCCGCCAACACTGTGGCATCCTCTACCACATAGAAAGAACGTGTCCGAAGCGATGGAACGTATCGCTGGAGAGCTCGGCGTGGGTATCGCTCACCGTCCGACAGCGACCATGCGCAACAAAATCATGCGAGTGAAGGACCGACTAGACGTGGGAGAACAATTGGATGTCGTTTAGCAGATCCCATGTCGGGACTGCCCTCGCCACTACACAGGACAGACCGAACGACGACTTAGCTCACGAATAACGGACCTTAGACGGGCGGTCCGGAGAGGCGACCCGTTGTCTCAGGTCGCCACTCACACGCTGGAGGAAAGCCACGAATTCAACTTCGCGAGCACGCGGATAGTAGCACGGACCAGCAATAAGACAGGGCGAGAACTGTTGGAGGTCTGGGTGTCTGACACCAACTCTATCAACAGACACGTTGACATACCCCCCTACTATCACGCGCTCCGTTCCCGCGGCCAAGACGTGAGACCCGAATTCCAGCCAAGGGTGCACACAGTCACGCCGCCGTGTGACGGCGTGGGACTCAGCTTATCGCGAATACCACCCTCCGCACTCATATCCCCCCTTCATGGCTTGACTACAAAAACTGCTCATTTGATGCCACATTTTCACAGTCTCTGACGCTGGCCTCCTGTACGAGACCGAAAGCTCAGACTAATACACCTACTGTCCCAGATATCGTGTGTTCATCTTCTTTACAGATTCATATGTGACTAAAAAAATAAGACATTCGTTTTTTGCACTCATAGGCAGGGAGTTATTCCGAGTAAAATAAAAAAGTGCCGAAAGGGCATCTATTTGGCTGAGAGCAAGATGATTTCGCGGACCTTCTGTTTGTCTTATCAGTCGAAATCCTACCAATTTGCGCACTACTGTAAGGGTAAGAAAACCAGGCGACCGATAGTTGACGTGCGCGCTTTCATGTCAATCGATAATTTGTTCAGGGGCTTGGAACTCAATCATTCAGAAATCCACACGCTTTGAGAATGCTTGCTCATCTTATGAGCAGAGTCATGAAGTCCTTTTATCGAGAAAACTTGAGTGGGATCTTACCTCATTGGACAACAGGTCAGTTCAGTGTCATTCGGAGTTTTCTTTCCTGTTTTAACTAATTAGGTCTCGGCAGTATCAAATAGTTTTGGCAGTTTAAAATTGCCGGAATTTAGTGAAATATCCTCCTAACGGGCGGTGTCAGAGAATTTAAAGGATAAATATACTGTCGGTAGGGAAGCTAAGATTTTTCTACCAAAAGCATAGAAAAGCATTGAAAAGGATCTTAGCATTGGATGTTGGCACAGGAGTGAGAGTGCCCAATACGCTTTATTTTTGGCACGACTAGAACCGCTCCAGTTCCAGGCGGTTAGTGAAGAGTAAGAATAGGGGGATAAGCGGATTGATTTGTTGATTAGACGGTCAATACGTTTTTCATTGTTTGCCAGAATCTGTGGTAACTGGATTGCTGCCAACGCAAATTCATGTTGGAAGCAATTTTTTCTCGGTATGAATGCAAGACGGGCACACACAACATATTCTACTGCCACCAACAAATCCCGCTACATTTTGCCAACGGCAACTCATCGCTGCAGAACATGGATAGTGAATAAGAGGCCTAGAGCAATTCGAATTTGCGTGGGAAATTCGATGCTAAATAGCAAAGTCACTGTTTACTGCATTAAGACTAGCCAACGCAAATAGCAGATTTGAAGCAAATTATTCCCCGGCATGGAATTGAAGCAATCGTTCAAAACAGGATTTATTGGTACCAACAAATTGCGCGACTGCTCATAAACTGCATCCTGTCGCTTCAAAACATAAATAACGAGTGGGAAGAATACAGCAACAGTAAACAGAGACGACGGGAGACAGTTGATGAGCCGTTTGTTGGTACCAATAAATCCTGCTTTGCACGCTTGCTCCAGCTTCGTACCAGGGGAAAAAAGTGCTTCAAAAGGCAAAAAGTTAGTACGCAGAAACGGGTGTGTGTAGATATACGCACAGTAAGTGGGCTAACTCATGAAATGTCAACCGAAATTTCGAAATGCATTTTCGTTTTAAAAGGATTAAGTAAGTAGGGTTGCAAAACTAATCAGGCTACAACAATTCAGTTACCTCAGGGTGCCGGCTTTCGAATGAACTTCCTTTCGGCTGCATGTAAAAAAGTACACCCTGTAAGATGACTACTTAATTAGCATGAATTTTTCTCAATGATTTTCGATTCCCCTAAAAGTCCAATTATATTTCATAGAAAACATGCATAACATATTCATTCTTATGCTCATTCGGTAGAAAATTACATCTTCTTTCAATTTTGTACTCCAAGGAAACGCATAATTTGGTTTTCAAAAACTTCTCCAATTCCGGAATAATTTTGAACCTACTCTACCTCTACACTTGGATTCAGGGTTTCCAAACTACAAGGCGTATATTTTCCGCGTACGGAATACCACACATTTCTCTACGGTAATAAAGGGGGACCATAGAGGATTCATAAAATTTAGCTGTGGATTTGAACCATATTGTTAACTTTACAAGCCACATTGGTAACTGCAGAGACATGACGATCTATGAACGGCCATTTCACGGTATTAAAAAATCTCACAATTGGAAACTTGGCAGAATGTCATTACCAACAAAGATAAGGGAGACTGGAATGTCCATTTCTGGCTTATTAACGGTCGTCAGACAGTTATACCCAACCCC